CTTTCCATCTGCATCAACTGAACTTGTTAATTGCACGTTATTGTGCTTCATAGTATAACTAAATAAATATCTCTACTGTGAATGACCCGGGTAGATCTAGGAAGTAACACTTTTACATTTACTCGGATGCCCAACACTTTGATTCTCACTCTCCTACTGCAGAGGCTGCTTAGCAAAGGCCATGTTATCTAGAAATGTACATCATCTAATTATGTAAACATCTTAGGTATAGCTCATCACATGGTTCCCTGGAAGTTAAGATCACAAGAGTATAGGTACATATCACACTCTCACTGGAATTCACCTTGTCATTTTTATGCACTTTGACACACGGCTTATGGCTGCTTTGTCTGGGAAATATATTTCTCTGTCTATACAGAATACCATCTGTAATTATACAACCTGTTCTAACTTAATGCACTTTTACTTCACTTTTGAAGGTCCTTAATATAGTACATTGTACAGTTCTTGGTCTTTCAGTTTTACATGATAACATTCACCAGGAAAACTCAAATTATGAAACAATAATATATTTATATCAGTGACTTAAGATAATCACATACCTTGACAGTATACTTTGCTGCTGCTTTACAACAACTATGTATATCATAAACACAACAGATGTCAAGGAAAATATCTTGAAACAACTCAAAGCTGCATAATGATAATAATAATAATAATAATCTAAGACATTCTACAAAGGATATTCGTAATCTTAACCCAATGCAAGACAGGATCCCTACCTTGGATTAAAATAACGGAGGGAGGGTCAGCCATCTGTTCTGACAAAAAACTGGAACTGTACTCTTATAGTCACCATAAAGACACTGCTTCTCATTTTTTGAAGTTTAAACATACAGAACACTTTAGTTGACTGGTCTGCCATAGCACACCAATGGCTCTGTTTACCTCTAATCTATTGGGCATTTATTTTTTTTTCCAAGACATGGATTCAGGTAAAGTAGTTTTATCACATATTCAAATCTCTCAGCTACATACATCTTTACATATATATATCATTCATATCATTCAGCAAAACATTGCTAATACTGCACCATATATATATTTTTCTTCTCTTCTTCCTTTTAATATTCATTGTTTGTTCTTTGTTGGGCACCTCATCAAACAAGACAATCCTAGTTGCTTGCATCTTCTTATATATATATATATATCATTTTATACCAAGTCCATTTTTTCCTCCATCACATATTTCTCCATCTGCATTTGGTGCATGAAGGTTGACATGAGCAAAGTTCTGCCACAGGTATTCCAAAGCCTCCAATGTGTGTGCTCTCTTCACTCCCTGGACAGTCGCCTCCAAGAACGGCGTCGGCTAGAGCCCGGCCGTGTTGCCTGGCTGTGCTACGGCTGTACTCAGGCCTCCGAATCCCCTCTTGGTGCGACTTTCTGCACCATGCACGAGCGCGCCACCGACTCAAATAGCCTGTAAGAAGGTAGTGGGCCACCTGTTAGAGGTGTTGCTGTCAGAGTAAATGAGGTGATGTGGAACAAACCACTGTCCCTTATGAATAAAGAAATAAAACTTTTTTTTTTTTTTCCTTTTTTTAAGGGAGATGCAAGAATTATAAAAACAAAAGTAGCCTGACGAAAAAAATGTTCGACTAAATCAACCTCAAGAAAAAATAGCACCAACACCAGGAGCAGTCTATCCAAGCATATATCTCTTGCAATCAATACCATACAACTTAAACAAATAACAAATAAATACAAATTTTGTTTCAATTACTCTAATGGTAAATGAGCAAAGAAGTATCCTTAATTTTGTGCAACTACATAGACTCTTAAAAAGAATACCACTACACTGGACACTAAACTCTTAAACAAAAATCTGGGTGCCAATACACAATATCTCTTCCACACAACCACATTTACTGATTCTAACATACATGAAACAAGAGCTACAGCAACTTCTACAAGGTCCCTTTTCTATACTTACTTCTCAATCTCTGGAGCGCACTTCACGAACTCGTGGCTCCAGAACTTGAAGGATGGGTTCTTGATGAGTTCGATGAAGGTGATGAGAAGCCCCCATGGGTGTGGACGATTGACGATCAGTCGCTCTAACAGCACCCTTGTGATCTGTTCTTGGATGGCTTCAGTGTTAGCTTCAGCAAAAAGATGAAGAAGTGTGCAACTGAAGTAGTGGGTGTGGCTGTTGGGATACCGCAGCTGGTTGGCAATGGCATTCAGGAACAAGTAGCGACCTAGAAGGGAAAAAAGGGATTTATCATCATATTCAGATGAAGCAAAACTCCAGTAAACTGCTTTAAGAGAAATACTTCCAGGAAAAAAGTATATTTCATATAAAGGACAAAGATACACAAATGCGGAACACTTACCTTCTGTGTCTAAATCAACACCAAGATTCTGGAATATGTCCATGTGGGCGGAATGAGCAATGGTAGACATGGATGGAGTTAGGCCTTTGCTGTGGATCTGAGCAATAGCCTGCATGCCAACGTACAGCACCAAAGCGTTCATCACAGACATGTTGTAGCGCATCCCTGGTTCATTGTTGACCTGTGTGGATAGGGGAAGTGTGAAATGGCATCATTAAAAAATCAATAATACAATAAAATAAACAAATCATAATGATATAACACATCACCAAAGACACTGAAATACAAAACAACCAACGCACCCACCTGCAAGAAAGTCCGCATGTCTGAGAGGAAGGTGACGGGCGTCCTGTTCTTCAAGTAGGAGTCCAAGTTCTTCTTTAGCTCTGGGGGCTGGATGAGGCTGGCTACATTGGTGGGGATCTTGGGAGAGACCGTGATCTCGGGCAGCATGTCCACTTTCAGATTGGGGGTGAAGGGGTCAGGGAGCCTCATGTTCCGAGGGAAAGCCGAGAGGATGAGATTGCGCATTTGGATGCAGTTTGGAGGGATGACATCACAGAAACCATAGTGGTATTCACATAAGAACTCCGGGAAATCATGGAGCAAGACTAGCAGCACACGTAGTGTACCCTGAAAAGAGATTTTTTTTTTAGAATTAAAATTTTACTTCTACATACATGGGTTTATAATATTACTTGAGGAGGAAAAAAGGAAAAGAAACAAAAATGAAAATCCTAAAACATGTAAGGTTGTATGTATGTATATATGTATCAGGGTTCATATACTTTTTTGGTATTAAAATTCCATGACTTTTCCATGACTTTCCAGACGGGTTTTGGTATTTTTCTATGAATCTTTTCTTGAACATCTGATATATATATACATCCCATCACATTTCTTTCTCAAAACTTTCTTTAGATAAAAGAAAAAAGTCAGACATTTCAATTCTTAAACGACACAAATACTATATATCTGCGATTTTCCAGAAATTAAAACAAAATTCCAAGATATTTCAAATCTAAAAAATTTCAATTTCTATTTTCATGATTCCCCAGGATCTGTGCGAACCCTGGTGTATATCTGTATGTAGGCTATGTATGTATGTATGTATGTATGTGTGTGTGTGTGTGTGTGTGTGTGTGCGTGTGTGTGTGCGTGTGTGCGCGCGTGTGTGAGTGCGTGCGTGCGTGCGTGAGTGAGTGAGTGAGTGAGTGAGTGAGTGAGTGAGTGAGTGAGTGAGTGAGTGAGTGTGTGTGTGTGTGTGTGTGTGTGTGTGTGTGTGTGTGTGTGTGTGTGTGTGTGTGTGTGTGTGTGTACATGTGCATGTGTACGTGTGCATGTGTGTATGCGCGTCTTAATAACTGATAGGAAAGACAGATAAAGATATAGAAGAATAGGAAGAGGATTATTAGATAAAAAATAAGGAGAAAAAGAAAGAAAAAAGAGAGATGACGATAAGAAAAAAAAAAAGAAGACGGAGAAAACCAAAAAAAGAGTAACTGATGAAAGAAGGAATACAGAAAAAAAGATTAAACTGCAATACAAGACTTCTAACATTTGCCAACCATAACAGCTACAACACCACTCACCTTATAGAGCATTGTCAGAGGCTTGGCGAGCTCCGCATTCCGCAGGAAAGGTGCCAAGAATTTGAAGAGATCAGCCAACAGCATGGAGTACATGGACCATCCCTTCTGCTGAGGGGTGATGGCTAGCATGCGGCCAATGAAGACACGGTGACTCACAATCTCCAGCCAGGCATAGGCAAACCCTGGACACTTGCTCGGGCGAAGCAGATGCAGTGTTTGGGTGAAGGCCATCAGAACCTGGAACGGAGAATATTATCTATGCATTTTGTGCCTTGGTGGGATCCTGCTTTCATTTCCTTTCCTACTGAATATCAAGTAGTCTAAAAAACATCAAATGAAGAAATAAAAAAAATAAAAAGTAAAAAAAATATAAAGAAATAAATAAAAATAAAATAAAGATATCAAGTAAGTGCATTTACATAATTTCTTTAAGCAAAGATGGATAGGTTAATTATTCTAGCATGACAAGATATACAAGTGTGTTAAACAAAAGGCAAGTGAGAGACTACCAATAAAGAAATTCAATTTGAAAAACTTACAGTTACCGATGAAAACTTTAAAACCCAGCCATAACAACCACACATGACAGTGAAGTGTTGAGCTCAAAGAATTAAAGCCTCAAAATGATGAGCAAATATTTACCCAGTATACCTAGCTGTCTCTCCACAATAGGAAATAGGAAATTTGTGATATAATCATATTTACAACACAACCTGACACCTTATCCTCATCTCCCCTTTAAGAAGGGCAATTGGTTTCTTTTCCTCACACCATTCTCTTTTACTTCATGACTTTCTGAATTCTGATCTCAACTTATATAGCTTTTATTTGTCTTTATTTTCATTTTCAAGAGAGAATAGAATGACATCCAAGGAACTGTATACTTTTTAAATAGAGCTGAAGTTTCACTACTCGGGCTCAACTTTACTTCCTAAGTCACCTCCAGCTGACCAGCCTTTCACATTGGTTGTATTATAATTACATTCCTCATGGTTGTATTGTATAATTACAATACTAAATATTAAATTTACAAATGTAAACATTTTAATTAATATAACTGGAAAATAATATTGAAAGAAAAAAAAAAAAAAAAAAAATCAGAGAGAACTATATTCATAACCCTCTACTTTAAAAAGAGAGCAATGTTTAGGCAAATTAACATTCTTAGGCTGATTTCCCTAATTCCTCACATAGTTCACCTGGGTCTGGTCAAAGGGGTGGTAAACCCTGAATGAATCCAAATAGGGAGTTAGATAAGGCTTAATTTCTACCACGAAGCTAGGTTATTTTGCTATAATGTGTTAATACTAGTAAAGCAAGGATAGCTATATCACGTGAAGTGACTCCTCTGTGTTTCAAGCTTCATAAAAACAAGTAAGAGGCGCACACAATCTGTCACTTCTCCAGACTCTGGGAAGTTGTGTATATCCAGACTCGGAATTCTGGAAACAGAAATATGCTGAGCTAAGTAAAGAAAAATAAAGGAGGAGACCTTTTGCACCCAACAAAGGATGCATATCTTCCAGAATTCTGAATCCGGACAAGAAATAATTGGGATTCTCATGAACAGCCTGCATGGGGAAATGCACGGCATGATGATAAAATCTGAGCTCCAATTACAAGAGCCTCAAAAATCTCAACATGGGGCACATCTCAACATAACAACATTTGGCATCGAAATACATTTGCAATTCTGAATAAATGCAGAAAGTTTACACAATGTTAAACAACATGCAGAATGTTTCAAATAATACAAAGCGGTAAGAAATTAAGATTCATGCGCAGATAAGGACAACCATTTGCATCGAATACAAATGAAGCAACTGTTAACAAATGCAGATTTTGTTTCAAATACACACACAAAACGGTAAGATCAGACTGCGTTTATGCATATGCTGCTTAATGCTTCTGCATTAATGTTAGGTCTGTACAGTCAAAGGTGATGCTACTGTTTCTACAATCTTTGTCTATGAAAGGGTTTAAAATCTACTATACAAAAACTATGAACAAGGGAAAAAAAGAGAAAAAATATCCTATCTGAATTATATATTCACATCACATGCTTTTCAAGGATAAAAATGAAGACATGGAAACACTTCTGACAGGGAAATACAGAAATAAGCTAGCAATATCAATCTGAAAGTAATGATTATTAATGAAGCATTTCAATAGATCCTATTTGAATTAATCCTATTCTGGATTGCAAGAACAAATCTAACAAAAGTGAAGTTTATATAACATGAACACTTAAAACACTTTAGAGAGAATTGAAAAATCAAGTATCTATGACAGAAAATTAATGCACATCAATTAAGGAAATATAGTAAATCTCAAATACTACTACATCTATACCAAAATCTCATGATTTTTTTTTTTCTCAAATTCAGAATAAGCATGGGGGTAAGAAACTGCTAGCCATGTTCATGCACTGAATATGCTTGATGTATTTGGAGGTGAGACAGGGAAGACCAAGTCCTCACAAGACAAATATGATGTGTATTTAGGATCTTAAAGCATGAAGGCACATCTGTTGACCTTATCTTCCTCAGGCACCATCCCTCCTCAAAGATGACAAACACTTCAATCACCTTCAGCCTCTGAGTCTGTTTGATGTTCATTCATTTGATTTTTAGAAAATCTCTGCATGCCTTGTTCAAAATGAAGATCCCCTATATATACTACCCATATTATTTTTCTTTTAACAGGAAGGCAATAAAAAAATGAATAAACCAATATATATACACACATGAAATATAGTTGTAAATTTCTGTATGAATATTAACCTAAGAAAAATCAATTACCCTTCTTTTATAATGAGAAAAGCCCTGAGAACTTTGTAACTTTCATTGCCTAGAAAAAAAAAAGAACACCAGTTATGGACAACAACTTTCAAAATGTAAAGGGCCTCAATTTTGATAAAAACAAATTTTCAAGACATGTCCACTTTGAAGGATATAGCTGCTGCTATTTTAAGGCCAAAATGGAAGGACTCTACATATATCAAAACAGAATAAGGAAAAATAAAGACAACATTAGAGCTAACAAGGGATGGAGCCCAATACCCTAATAACGTCTTGTGCCTGCGACCCTCAAACCACCTCCAAATAAAGCATACCAGTGGATGAACACGCGCTAGCATTGTTCCCTGAGAGTGTAGCTTACTTCACATACCGGAAGGTTGATGGACTCTAGGATCGCTTCAGGGGCGTTGAGCTCAAGGAAAAGCATGATGAGGATGCGGTGATATGGAAGCTGCTGGAACTCAGTACCATTTGACTCAATGTCGTGGATCATGATGCCACACACGAGTCCTAAGACCTGCAATTTCAAATAGAAAAGATAATTTTTAATTCTGTTAACAAGTCTTAGTTGTATTAAAAAGGTACATTATTTGAGCCACTGCATAACTGAATGAAATTTACCAAAAAATAACAAGGAAGAAACTGACATCTAATTAATCCCTTTAATAATGTTGCATTTACCTTCCAAGCATGTGTTTACTTTCATTTAAATAAGTTTTTACTTGTCTTACCTTATTCAGAAGATTGATCTTTGTGGTTGGGTTTGTTGCCTCCCCCGAGTGTTTGACTAATAAGGCAATAAGACGTACAAAGGCATCCAGATTCTGGAAGCATTTGCTGCGAACATAGGTAGGAGATGGTCCTTGGCCTTGCTCAAGAATTGATCGAACACAAAGGTCACGACACATGCTTATGCAGATCCTAAAGAACCTGGAATGAAAAAAAAATTGTGCATAAAATAAATGAGAACATACAAGTCCTTTTATAAAGATTCCCATTAAGATCATTTCATAGAAGGGACTTCAAAGACTAAGCCCACTATTCTTTCCATACCTGGTTATGAGATCATCTGTTTTGAGGATTCCGTGAAGATTCATTTGCTTCACGAAGTGCTGGAAGGCAGAGGCCGACCCCTGGCCGGCTGTTGGGGAATGGTACATCTGGATCCATTCCCGCAGCAACACCTCTGTCTTCTCCTGCAAGGCCGGGGGATCACTGAAGTCCCTGGCCTGCGTCACACCCGAATGGAAGTGGAGACTTGGCCCAGCAGCCAGAGCACTGTTTGTGCCACTGAGGCTGCTGCCCCCTGCAAGCCGCTCACTTGCCAGCAAGTCATGCTTCAGCCGCAGTGCATCAATGAGGGGTACAAGGCCTTCTGGGGCCTGTCGAGAGTGGCACATGCGCACTAAGGCCTCCAGTGTTAGCTGCAAGTCGGATTCACTCAGGAAGCTGTTGCTGGGGTCGTCAACGAGGTAAATCTGTGGGAAAGTATAATATACAATGATCTAAATTATACCGATTTACTTGAAGACAAAAACTCCTAATTACACTTAAAGGGAAATATGTATAGGGAGGGGAGGTGTGAAACAGGAGGTAGATACATTCACTTTTAATGCATTCAACAAACCAAACAAGCTGGCATGAGAAAATGATGAAGGGAATGTAGGATGGAATGCCTCGGATGGAATCTGGGTTTCATCAAAGGTGTTCGTCCAGTAACTGCATGTTCAGCAAATTGGAACGGATCAGCCAGTCGACAACATCTAAGTTGTACTTCAATTCTTCTTCGCGGATTCGATCAGCCAGCATCTGCAAGTGAGATTGTGAATGTTTTCATCATGCTTACAAGGAAGGCTTTGCCTACTACATATCGAAAACATAATACAGATGAGAAAGTTCAGTAAAGTTAATGATAAAAATTCATAACACAAGAATACAAGGTAGAATATTCCCTGGCCATCAGGGAAATATTAAAGAGGCAAATATAAATACTTATTTAATAGAGCTTAGACATGCACTAGGATTCCAGCCTCTGGAGGGGACAGAAGAAGAAAAAGGAGAGAAAAGTCATTCTAGCCTGGGGGAAGAGTGCAGGAGAAAGGGAGATTGAGATTGAGAGTGAGCATAAACCAACAGAGATAAATCCTGAATGAAAACCCATAGCTATGCCACTCACTTGGTAACATTCTTCGATGTCCAGTTGGTTCCATAGGAACGATGATCAGCCATAGCCTTCAAGACGATAAGGTGGCAGTCACGGAACCGAAGGGCAAGCTGGTTCAGTTCTGGTTCAGTTGGCAGTTCTCGTGCGCCTTCCAGGAGGTTTTCCACAGCCTGGTTGATGAAGAGGATGAATAAAAGCTCATAAATAATAGCTAATAACTTTTTAGTTTCAATGAGTTTGCTGTGATCCTTTAAATTTGATCAAAGACAATTCATGGATATTTTGCTATGTATACTTGCTTCATATTCTTTCTGACATGAAATCAAGTCATAAAAATTGAAGTATACCTTAGCAGTTCATCATTACTTGAACATTGAAAGTCAACACAAGTCTGGCTCCTAACCTTCCTGAGCAGCAGCTGAACAGTGTGCGCATCTCTGTTGGTACGGGTGAGCAGAAGTCCTTCCCTGAGCGAGTGCAGCATTGGGATCAGGGGGGACGAGGGGGCCAGTGTAGTGAAGGCCTGGATGGTGTGTTCCAGCTCAGCACTGATGCGCTCCGTCAGAAGCAGGAATGCTGTTGTCTCATCACTTCCAAAGGCCTGCTGTTGCGAGTGAGGGGGTTGCTGCTGCTGTTGTTGCTGCAATAATCAGAGAGAAATGTAATAATAATAATCATAATCAATGACAATAATAATAATAATAATAACAGCAGCTTGATTTATTTATAAATATATATAAATACATTTTCATAATAAATAAAATAGATATTAACCAATTGGATCTGAGTAGTTCATGGCAACCACAAAATACGGGCATTAGGCTTACTTGAGCAGCCACTCTGACAGGTGCGAGGTTTGCAGGCAAATGAACACTCGTGTGCAGTGACAAGACTATGCCTCTCCATTGCAATTCTATTTACTCTTTATATGCATAAGCATTTTCTTTTTATTATAGCTTTATTGCCATTTTCCAAGGCCCATATTTGTCTTATTATTTATATATTTTTTTCCTATCATCCAATTTTCTGTATTAAAACTTATGCCGCTGCTATGCCAGGAATAAGATGCTGAGCATGGAAATAACATGCTCCCTGGAGCCAGTGCCCTTCCAGTCATGGCTCATAGACAGGATATTCCAAACTGATTTATCAATGGAAATAATAAAAAAGCCCCTTTCTAAATGACAAATGAGCCTAATAACCCTCCAAGAGATCTATGCATTCATGACGAGTCTTTCCTGTCAACCATCACCTTCAGCCGAAACACTCATGACAGCAAGTTTGCATAATCCTGTCCCTTAGGCAGTTTTCTCATGAGAGCATGTTTATGTCAGCAGCCCCTCAAGCACAATTTTTTCCTGATGTAATGGAATCACTATCCAGATCACAGGGGTTAATATGAGAGCAGAAAATGTATGTCTCTATAAAAATAAATATAAAAGAAAAACTCACCGAGCTAATAGGAACAGGCTTGGTTAAGAACATTGTGTCCTGATCAGTGATGGGCAGGAAGCCAGGGATGTTGCGGGCAAATTCTTCATACACAGCCATCTGAGGTTGGGTGACACCACCCACCTTCAGGCGAATGGGTTCTGGCATCCGCTCCGCCTGGTATGTCAAAACCACTGCATCACAATAGCGGCGGCCCTCTGTCCTTGCTGCTTTCCTCACTTCATATTCCTGCAAGAAAGAGAGTTATGGTATGGGGTAAGTGAGGTTGAAATCTTTCTCGTTTCTATCTCTAATTTTCAAAGATTAAAACATTCATCTGAACAATTATTTAGAAGAGCTGTTAAAGATCCTGATTTCCTTCCTGTTAAAGATCCTGATTTCCTACTCTAATCTACACCTACATAATATAAGTATCTATATATATACACACATATATACATATATAATACAATAAAAAAAAAAAAACAGTAAAGATGTGCCTCACCTGGGCCAGCCTCTTATCCATCTCAATCACAGCCTTCTCTGCAGCAGTTTTCTGAATAAAGGCACAAGCTATACCAACATTCTCCTGAGCAATGGCTGCAGCCAGCTGCTCCATCTGCTCTAGCTGTTGTGGCAGCTGCTGTTGATTTGTCTGAAAAATAAAATTTACCATGAAATATAATGTAAAACATCAGTTTGTTGTACGATCTTTAATGTTGTCAAAATATGAAGCAGTGTTGGTGAGACATGGCAGTCTTAATTATCCTGTATCAATCCATTTTTTTTTTTTTTTTTGGAAATGGCATGTATGTGAATCCTGTGTCTACTGTGATTTTAGTTAATTTATTGTGATTACACACAGATGGCTCCACACAAGATCAATTACTAGTCCTATCTCACTGGTTTACCCTATCCTTGATTTTTACTATATTATTTTTCAATATATATTGCTGTTAGCATTGTTGATAACAATAATTATGTCAATGATAATAAAAAAACTGTTGATAATAACAATAACAATAAAAAAGACATTTTATGGAAAAGGGAAATTGAGTAAGCTCATGTAGGGCTACTGGCTGAGCAAGTGTGGATCCATGTCTAAAGACAATGCAGAAAACAAAACTAAACAAGACATTACATATTCCTTATTGCAACAGGTTAACTTGCCCCTCAAAAAGGGGGGAAAATGTATACTTGTATGAATATAGTATCTGAAAATTGATATTTATCACTAGATATCTTATTTTCTAAAGGATTTCAACTCTTCAATGAATCTTCATGGCCATGCAACACCAGAAAGCTTACTATGGTAACAAACTTACTCGTGAAAAAGCCTGCATCAATCCCTGCTTGATGCTCTTGGCAATATTTGTAGCCAGATAATCTCTGCAAGTTATCATTGCCATTGCTGCTGTCAAGTTGCGAACCATGTGGTGAGTTGCAACTCGCATCCGAGACTCATCTGGGTCCAGAGCGAAGTCTTTCTTGATTATGTGTTCTGCTGTGGTGATAGCAATCTTGATGCTGCGCTCCAATACTGCTGTCACTATCTCCTGGACTGCCATTTCTACAGCATGTCGCACAAGCTGTTTCAATTGAGCATTGCTTGCAATGCCACCAACCTGTGCCAGGAAAAAATTTCCACTTTATTTATCATACTCTTAGACTTGCTAATACTATGTCTTATATAATTTTTCAATGTGTAAATACTGATAAGCAAAATAACTAAATCTGATAATCAAATAAATCTTATATAACATAAAAGTGTATGACTGAATGTGAAAAAAACAAGCTAACCAACCTGAGGTACTGAGACAGATATGTGAGGCTCAAGACCCCGAAGGGAAGTGACAGTGATATCCGAGTAGATAAACCGTGGCTCGTTGACCGAAGGTTGTTGAGGCTGGATAGGTGTTGGGGTAGAGGAGGGATGAGGTGGCAACACTGATGGAGGGGTTGGTGTGGCACCCACAGATGAGCTCTGTACGGTGACTGTGCTGCTGGGCATCTCCACCTGCCCTGTTGGACCCATTTGTGACCAACTTGTCTTTGCTGAAAGGCAGAGCAAGGGGAATTTTATACAAAGAACTATAGGTACATTTTGGCATCCTTGAGATTTGAGGGGGGGGAGAGGGTATTTTTAAACTAATATGTGTGAAAGAAAAACCCAAATCCGTAACACTGCCTTGTCTAGTGTGTTTCCTCTATTCCTACATACATCTATCCCAAACATATAATTCATGAAGCCTTAATATATGGAGTGTAAGTCACAGCTCGAGCTTTGCTAAATCATTTTCTCTACCATTAGATGTTGCGCAGAATATTTATCTTAAAAGTCTATAATAAACAACAAAAAAGGAGAAAAGGTAGATTCTTAGGAATTTATACACACCATGGAGTGGAATAAAGTAGGTTGAAGTGTGTACCCTGTTTATTAACCTTACTTACTATTTTACCATCTACTGTATGACCAATATATTACCTAAGATATCATCAGGCACTCCTACAAAATTTACTTCTAATTGAATTACCTTCAAGTCCACTCTCATCCCAGCTCCCACCCACAACTAACATAAATAAGCAGTACAGCAGATCCAGGCTGTCAAGTCCATTGCCCATCCTGCTTACACTAACAGGAACAACTTTCCTATTTAATTTTTACTGTTATTCACTGTTATCAGTTTCTTAACATCCATAGGAAGTGTACACAAGGACACATTCAGAAGATTAGGCATTCTCAAATAAAAATGTAATGACAGCTTTAAGGGCAAATAGCAAGATATTTAATGTTTTCTCTAATTTCATCTCAAATGTTGGCCTTTTTATTTCAATAGGTTACCTTCCTTTAGTAATATATTCCCTAATTAACTATGAGCAAATCTTTCACGGGGATGCATTTACAATAGGCATATCAGTAGTTTTAGGATCCACTCATAAATAATAATTATCTGGAGGAAGAAAAAAATTACACATTTAGAACTAGTTATTATGTCTTTTCTTTGAATTCTCAGGAGGTCAAATATTATCACACCTTGATTGATGACTTCGTGTCCCGGTGCGTGGTTTATATTCGGATTGGCTACCCATCGGCTGCCAGTATTCATCGGGTCTAAGAGAGGAAAGATGTTCCTGTCAGTGATGTAAAGGAAGAGAGGGTGGCCCCTGTGAAAGGCCCTTCACCTTCTCCCAGTCTTCCAAGCTCCCGTTTTCTCCTTGCACACTACAATCGACTCAGATAATATCCCTCAACACTCTCAAAGTCACAGAGCCAAGATAAAGGGTATATTGCCTGTGAGGAGGAGCATGAGAAGGCCAAGGAGCTAGGGTGTGAATAAGGAAGAACAGGAAATATAGGAAGGGGAAGACAGGGAGGGGGAAAATGGGGGGGAGGGAGATGGAAGGGACACAGAGATGGGAGGTGGGGAGGATAAGATGAAGGCTATATACAAAGCATCATTCCTTTGAACCAGAAAAGATTTTCATGAACACTAAAAAAATAAAGAATGAAAGAAGCAATGAAGGCCATTCCCTCATTCAAAAAGTGCATTCACAGATTCACAATTTGAATATGAAAAGAAAAAGCAAATAATCAATTTTACCTATTTCCATCACCACCAAACACTTGGGGAAAAAAAAAAAAAAAAAGGGTGAGGCCTAACCATCTTCCACTTACGCATAAAACTGGAAGAGGATGAGAATCCTTGCAAAGCTGGGAAAAGTGGAGTCGATTCAGCCCTTTTTGATCCTACCAGCTGTGACAGCTGGGGCTTCAGGCGTGCAATTCGCTCCCTGTCGTTCAGGATATTTGCTGGCTTCAGATCCTGAAAGAAGTAGCATTAGTACTGTCTAATGCAAAAGCCTAAACCATTTGTTAATTAATGCCTTTTGTAAATTTAAGTGCCTGTAATATGCATCTGTATGTTTAAATTTATGCATAAATACCTGTGTATATCTATAAACATGTTTGTATATATGTATGCCTCCATATACACAAAACCATTTGAGAGACTTGCCTCCAAATTGATTTCCAATCTATTACACAGAACTTCAATTTCAAACTTGAGATGGAGCTTCATGTCGGGTTCCTTGTGGAGCTCTGCTAGCACATTCATTATGGCGATGGTCCAAGGGTTAGGAGGCTTAAATACACGACTTTTTGCACATGACTCCATCACCTTGGCTACAAATGGAATCACATACTGCATTTCCTGGAGATAGAGAACACAATAGGGATTCATTACTCCATAGTAAAAAAATTCAGATAAAAAAATAATATTCAATGGCCTACAACAAAGATGAAATTCTGTACCACTATTAAATCATTCTAAATTACCTACCTTCAACTATAACCATACTAAGCACAATAATAAGTGAAGCCCACCTGTAAGCCTTTGTTGTAAGACTCGACGAGTAATGACTTCATATCGATGTCCGAGTAAAGGATGGGTTTATTCTTGGCCAGAGTCAACATGCCCAGCCAATGTCCGAGGTTCTTCAACAGTGACTTGTCAGAAAAGTTCGCCGCAGACTTATCAGCCCTTAAGAGAACCTGCAAGAGGAATGGCAGTTTAAAGAATGCCTCCATCATCATCTCTTTGAGTAGGGGAATCAAAATGTATACACCATCTACAGATACATAAAGCTAAGAAATCACATGTCAATCACTTGCTAATAAATACACTAAATATCACGTTTATATTGCGCTTCATTCCATCTGGAATGAAGGACATCCCATAAACATATGTTTATTTTTTACCTTAATATTCCTTAAAGTTTCCCTGCAAACCATTGCATTGAAATTGTTCATCTTCAGCTGATCAAGAAACAAGGAATAAAGCGTGTGGAAGTTGTTTTCAATGGAGGCTCGCTTCATCACCAAGTACTGGGCGACCCAAATCCAATACTCCTCGCTGACCACTTCACGCAGCTCTTCGCACTGTGGAAAACAGGCCAATAATATGAGTCATTTTTTCCACATTTCTTATACATATCAGCAACCAAATGAAAAAAAGGAGGTGAAAAAAAAAAAAAAAAAAAAAAAAAAAAATCTGAAGAGAATGTCCTAATGTGCCCTTAAGTACTCACCTTTTGAGGAAGGTTTACTTGAGAAAGATTGTTGAAAATAAAGGCAATTTTATCTTGCATATGCTCAGGTGGAGGAGTAATCTTTTCTTCTTTTTCTGTGGCAACTAACAGTGTTTCAATGTTGGTTGTTGTGATTGTTGGTTGCTGGAAATGAAAGATTACTGAAGTTAATAAAATAAATTCATATATATAATATAAACTAAAAATATACCTGCTGCTTTGCTAATAATAAATAAATGCATATGTTAATGAATTACAATATGAAACAGCAACAATAAGAAAGAATATCAACAAACATTATGTCAGCCTGAACTTCACATAAGATGACAAAGCTGAAAGTTTATTATCAAATTAATATCTATATTTTTTGCCATTCTACTTGCAGCATTTATTATCCAACCCTACGTCAAACCAAAATCCACTCTGCCATACCTTCCCAGATCCCACTGGCGCAGACGGAACAGACATTGACTGAGGTCTGGTGATGGCGGTGGTAGTTGTCGTAGTGGTGGTGGCAGTGAGGGTCTTGGCAACAGATGACACCACAGCCGACACTGCAGCAGTGGGTGGCTGGACAACAGTGCCAGTGACAGCTACTGCTGAGGTGCCTGGTGCTGGGGTGCTTGGAGACACATTCATGGAAGGGGGGAGCACAACACCAGAAGGACGTGAGGGGGGTTCTTGCGACTGTGTTCCATACTTAATGTACTGTGGTAGCGAGGAAAAGAAAACCCAAAACATTATTAAAATGTATAAAGGGAAAACATGAATCTAGTACAACTAATACTGAAAGTAGGAAAAATATGAATGGGAACGATTATCTTCACAGTGCAGATGTATTTTGGGTGCTTAAATACATTTCTTACACTGTGAAGATATCAAGTCTTTTTTTTTTTTTTTTTTTTTTTTTTTTTTTTTTTTTTTTTTTCAATGAATACTGTAAGAGCTATCCAATTAGTTATTCTAAATAGCTTTAAAAACAGCAATATTATAAAATTGAGAAAAACAGGACAACAATACCTCTATAAGGTGTGGTGGAAACTCATTGAAATGCTGTATAGCCATAAGGTGCTGACAATAGCGAGGGTATTCCTTCAAACGACTGCGAAACCTGTCCAGTGCCACGATGCCAAAGTAGTACATCTTGCTTCCATGTGGTTTCTGGAGAGCTTCCATGACATACCTGAGTGCTACACCTAAGGCCATATATCTGTGAGAGAAAAAAAGTGATAATGAACATCACCAATGATAGTAACAAAAATATTAACAATGATTGTGACAATGACACTGAGGACACAATGACTGAAAAAGATAAAACCTAGAATCATCATAATTATCAGAATAATAACCCTAAAGAAATAGATGCACTATCCCAAGCTACTCATCACTTGGGGGGAAAAAAGGGAACACTTACTCGACTAGACCCTGTTCAATGATGCCACCAAACAGCCTGGCAGTGGTGAAAAGTTCTTTGTCTGGGTAGGTGGGGAAGAAGCGATACTCTTCGAAGAGATTACGGAGCATACATGAATAGACCTCCCTTTCCCTCTTGTTGGTCGATTCATGGAATTTCTTCAGCATGTCCAGTACCTTACAGGTTAAAGATAATGTCAATTCATGTCATAATTTACATCATTGATTACAATCAGTTGTGTGACATGGTAACGAACATAATAAAATGCTTTTTAGATAAGACTTCTACAAACATTTGCATGATTAAGATTCTTTCCAGTTAATTCTCACTGAAACTAACCTCCTCAATGGAGAGGGTAGGATGGGGTGGATGATTGTAGATGCGCTGGAAGTAACTATTGGCTTCGTCTTCAACCTCTTTGCTCACCATTTGAGGCATGTCGAAGATTTGGGACATATCCACTGCAAAAGAATAAAACAAAATAATCAACTCCTTACCCTATCCAAAAGGGCAAAAGACCAAAAAATATTCATGGTATTAATCAAAGAACTAAAAACAGGTAGACAATGGTTGTCCTAGGATACGCACTCTGCCTGCTGGGGGGGTTGACGGTGGGCTGCACTGAATGTGACCTCAGAGATGACGGGATGATAGATGAGGTGGGCAAGGTAGGCAGCTGAGAGCCTACAGCTGCTGCATGTGGGGGCCCAAGCTGTAATGCTGGCAGGATGGAGGAGAGGGGAGACTGCGATGTCCCAGGGGCAGTAGAGGGCCCTAGGGGACGCCCAGGAGATCCTGGTGCTGTGCCCAGTGACCCCAAGCTGCCCAGACTCATGGAAGATGAGGCAGAGGTCGGGAAGATGGAGGATGTGCCACCTGCTCCACCCAGGTTCAGGCTGCTCAGGCTGGAGGCTATGCCACCCAGGCTGCCTTCACTCGTCTGCTGAGATGGACCAGGGAAGCCAATCTAAACACAAATAAATAAGTGGTTGAAAGTAATAACTACAAAAATGAATAAAAAATAATAAAAAAAAATGGTTGAAATAAAATAACAGAAAAAAAAAAAATCTCTTAAAATGATGAAATAACAATACAAGTGCAATTTCAAGACCAGTAACATATTGCTTCCAGGTATCACAACGCTTACCACTCCTTGCTGTGTTCGAGGTCTGTTCATCAGGTTGCAGTGTTGAACCATGGTCATAATGGTGTCTGACAATTCTTGAGACACATTTCTAGAAAAGGAGTACAATATGTTATATTTTTCTTAAATAAACATTTGTATCAGGCATTCAGTAGTATGCAACAAATGAAATATAATTCAAGAGATCACTATGGTTATAGACAACAATTCCCTAAAGCACAATTCTATCGCTCACTAACTGAACATTTGGGAAGAGGCTGACCACATAAAAAAAATTTAAAAATAAAAATATCAAACTCCATGCCATAACATAATAAAGCTGAAGTACTCACAAAGCACAAGCATTAAGACACACAAGAATGGTGGCCATGGTTTCAGGAGGAAGCTGTGAAGATTTCTGCATCCCGTCCTCCTTGCCACCCACCAGATGAGGACACCGGCGCTGCAGGAACTTGACGCATGCCGAGATGAATGCCTCTCCATGCTCGCGAATCTTGTCCGTTAGCCACTTATCCAGTTTCAGAAATTCTCCTGCAGAATAATTTCCATTCACAATGAGACATAAAAAACTATACATTGATAAAATAGCAGAAAATGCAATACCTGAGAAAACACCTGACTCAACACAAAAATGTGAAAAGATGGAGAGAGAAGAGAAGAGGAGAGAAGAGGAGAAGAGGACAAGAGGAGAGGAGAGGAGAGGAGAAGAAGAGCAGAGGAGAGGAGAGGAGGAGGAGAAAGAGAAATAGAAGAGAGAAGAGAAGGAGGAGGAGAAAGAGAAATAGAAGGAGAGAAAGAAATAGAAGGAGAAGGAAAAATTTCTTTTCTAATTTACAAAGTCTTTCAAACTTTCCTATCACTTTTATAGACACTTATAAGATCTGGAAGTATTTTGGTCTAGCACATATCTTTAAAATCCCTTTTTTGAAAAGGAATTGCAAAAAGAAAGATGTTACTTACGTCTGTAGGCCAAACAAGCCAAATCTATCACAAATGGGAAAGGCTGAGCATTGAGGAGTAGTGAGAGAGCTTTCAGATCTTGGGCGACGTCAAGAATTCGGCTTAGTCTTGTCTGGTCATTTTCCACCATCATATACCACTCTGCCATGGCATGCATGATAATCTGGCGGACTGTAGTTGCATTGTTCTGCCACAAAAAAAAGAGAGGTGTGGATCAAACAAATGATATCTAAAGGCAGCTCTAGATGACTGAGAGAATATATGAACTTCTTTGGAAAATAACATCAACCTAGGGTTATATCAGCTTACAAAAACAAACATATTAATAAATGTTTTCTAAGGAGAATGTTTATAGATTTAGCTCTTTAGCAACATTATACATTGCTAAAAACTATAACCCTTTTACACCAGCCATAAACATACCTGTGTGTGCCAAGCGTGATGAAGGATTATTGCTGCATTTGGGTGGTTCCCCAAAAATATTGGAATGAGAGAAGCAATCAGATCTTGCCGCAGGATAGTGTAAGGTAAAGTTGCCTGCAAAGTGGGAATACATACAATAATTAATCTTTTTAAAGAAATCACAAAAGAATACAATACCAACGTATTTTAGAATCATCCCTTCATAAAGTTCCTAAAATTCAATACATACAAGTAATAAAAAGTAAATGATTCACACTCACCTGTATTAAACCAAGAACAAGGATATCTGGACAGTGCTGGATGGGGAACTTGAAGAGCTCCTTCACAGCCGTGTAATGATTCTCTCCGAGGTAAAGGAGAGAATCTAGTAGTTGTACTGACTTCCATGTGGCCACCTGTGGGAGAATTTTATTTAGAAAGATTGTAAAGTTACATCTATATATATAAAAAAAAGCCATGTTATTGTAAAGGTTCTCAGAATTAAGAATCAAAGGGAAAAAAAAAAAAAAAAAAAAAAAAAAAAAACTTACCTCTTTATTGTCAAGCTCTGGCAATGTTTTCAAGCTATCAGTGGACACTAAATGGCAAGGGAAATCTGTAAAGCAAAATATCTCCGGATTTCTGAGGATCTGCGTGATAAGACTAAGCTGTTCCTCGGTATTCTTCCACTGCTGGTAGAAGCATTCCACAGGAAACAACTCAAGCCGCAAGCCCTGGCCCTGGAGAAGGCACCTGTGAATAGGGGAAAAAGAAAACTACATTAGAAATCCCACTGGTAACACTATATATTATCATACAGACAAGAATATCTATCTAAATATAAATATACAAATAAACTTATCAAAAAATCTATTCCTCAGGAAGATCAGCAGGGAACTAATCAGAAAAATATATCAACTCCTGGTCAGCAAAACTCACCGAAGCGCTGTGATCAGCAATTTGAGACCCTGTCTGTCCTTGACTAGGAAGCCCTTGTGGTCCAACTTATTGAAGACCTCCTTCACATTGATGCTGGGGACCACCTCTAGGAGTGCCTTGATGAAGACCTCCACATTCCAGCAGTGAGGACCCGAGAGGCTTCCTGACCCGCCCAGGGTTACATCACTACCCGAGCTGGTCGTTTGGTTATTTGAGCTCTTGTCTTTCGTATCACTCCACAGCGAGTTTGGGGAATTGAGGTTCTGCAGACCAATCTAAAGGATTATTTGCTTTTTAGAAATATTGATCTCCAAATTAAATCTTCTATTACAAATATCAAATTTACCAAAACAAATTTTATTCTTACTATAAAAAATAATCCAAATACCACCCATCTAAAAGCAAATGCACCTAAACTTAGGATATATTTGAATTCAGCCAATTATATTAAAGATTGTATTCCAAAAAACTACCATGGAATTTGTACTGCATAGTCCCTGAACCCATATCTCTCATCTGGATGCATGTGAAAACTCAACACACAACCTAATTCTTACATAACCTAATTACTAGGATTTCATGAAATTTTTGCTTTACTAAAATAGTGAAATGATCTATTACTTTTTCTTCTATCACTTGATTTCTTGATTATCTTCATGATTTTTCAGTGACTCAAGTCTCATTATTCATTAAAACCTTGCCACTCTTGAAGAAAATGTTTGAAATCTTTGATTTTTCCCCTTATGAGAACTTTTTTGCACTAGAATGGTCAAAATTTATCAGTGAATGTATATCTGATGGTTCTTTTCATTTCTCCATTCTTTAGGCTGTCTATAAAAAAATCTGAATAAATCTCACCTGTTCTGATGGCAGGCCCGTATGAGTGCGCACCATAACACCCAGGACCTTTGCAACAGCCGCTGGCGTTATGGAGGTCACACAGAAGTTCCCCAAGTTGCTTCTGCATTCTTCCACCGTGCTACAGAAGCTGTAGCCTAATTCACGGACTAAGTCTGCCAGAGACCCGTCCAGCTGCAAATGATGTTGTACAGGAAACAATTAAGTTGCCATTGACACAAGTGAAAAGCAGAAATAAAGAAAAGGGAAAATATATTCTACAGCATTACAAATTTCAAGTTTAATATAATTTCACTTTCTTTCCTTATCTACTCACTAGATTTTTGGCCATGCTGGCTGGCTGCTCTTGCGTGATCTTCTCCATTAGTATATCTGTATCTGGATAAAGAAGGGGAGCAAGAACGACAGGCACACGAGATCGAGGAAACTCCTGTTGGAGTGCCGATATAAATGCTTGTCTTGACTCTTGAGGTAGGAGTGCTGCTGGGGGGTCTCGCCACAGGTGGACGATGTGGATTAGCAACAGGTGTAGAGATTCAGTAGATAACTCCAAGAGTTCCTTGTCTTCTGAATCTGTAAAAATAGACATAAAATGAGGATAAGTGTTACAGTTATCTAATATGTAAATACTATTAGATAAAAAAATAGATAGGTGAACAGACAACCCATTGAGAAATCTTTTGGCCTACACTTTAAACACTGATTGGAATATTAGATTATTTATTGAACAATGCCAATGAACTGGTTAACAAAACATAATAATAATCTTTCCAACGCTTAACAGAAGCAATACGCAATCAAAAAATTAAACAAAAATAAAAACGAAAAATAAACGACAAGAGGAACCTGATGTTGCTGACTACCAATTAGGCAAGAAGGAAAACTATGGTCGCTGTGCAATATCTCCTCACTCACCTGTATCAACGTATGCCCGAACGAGTTCCGGGAGCTTAGCTTTCAGTACAGCTGTGGCCTGGTTACGTATTTCAAGACTTGTTCCTTGTAGAAGATGTAAACAGAGTTTGATTTCTTGTACCCTGGTAAGCCTGAGTACTTTGCACACACCAGCAACCCACTGGCTTTTTATATACTGCAGGAAAGAAGAATAAAAAAAAGGAAAAAAAAAGGGAAAAAAGAAAGAAAAGGAAAAAAAAAAAAAAAAAAAAGGAAAAAAAAAAAAAAAAAAAAAAGAAATGAAGAAAAAAAAATGTAAACAATAAGATATAATTTCATTTAGTTGCATTTATTAAAATGAAACGACCAACAGTGAAAATGCTTAATACCTACAGTAAATCAGATACAGTAGTAATTTTCTTCTATCATATACTGTATTGGGATATTCATATGTACATATATGTCAACCTACAAGAGAACATTTTATAAAATGCAAGTATATTTATCAAACAAGACACACACATACATAAAAGTGTCCATTTACAACCAGCAAGCATCATTATACAGAGTCACGCTCCAAAGAGCTCCATTTCAGCCTACCTCCGAGAAATGAAAACTTCCAGGCTTCAATAATATCTATCTTAACATATCACTATCTATCCTTATGTCCTTTTAGATTCTATTAAGTTGGTTCACTGGAATGCTGGCGGTCTTAAGCGCTATACAACTACAGAAGGAAAAAAAATCATAAAATGTATATTTCAGGAAATAAGTGCAAAATACTGAATGCAATATTACATTTCCAGACTATACTAGTGGTTATGAATATATGAATAATTTGTCATGAATTCAGTTGAAGCAAACAAAAATTCACACACCCATCCCCCGATATTCATAATATCACAATTATGATTGATTCAGCAATTACTGTCAAGCATTATCTTTCCTAACAAAACTGATTTTGTTCAAATATCTTTCCTATCCCACTCCAGTATCTAAAACTCTCAATCTTATCTCAAAAAAGGAGATGAAAAAAATAGATTAAAAAATTACTTGCTATTTCTAACAAACTAATCAAAATTTGTATATTAACATAATAACATTAGAGAAACATCAAAAACTACAAAACTACTCCTTCCTACACACTGCTTCACACAAAACTCTACTCAGCAATCACTCCAGCCCCATTTCATTGTCACAATCACCAATATCTTCCACAATCCACATCTCAAACTCTACATAACCATTCATAAAATCAACCTCACACATATCTTATACTCTACAAAATAAATCCAATTCCACCTTACCTGCCACGCATCCTTCCATAAACCACCTCCCATTCAGCTTAACAACTCCCAAAGTCTTTCTTTGTACATTTAGTAACTCATTCCAATCTTTAACACACACACAAACACACACCTCTGGAACACAGCACAGCACATCACCTACCAGGCATAAATACCAAAATCTATATCACCCTTTGTGCACTCATCCATCAATTCTATTACAATAGACAAATGCTAGGCCTTTCACCTACCTTGCTTGGATTGGGGGGGTTTGCAACTGCAAAAGCAAGACTGGCAATAAAATGTGTAGGGGGGAGTGTGGCAGACAAATGCTGCACAAGGAGCGCACAGCCTGCACTGCCCGCTGCCGACCACGAGAGGGTGGCTCCGCTCGAGTTGGGGGCACTCTCCTTCTCCTGTTTTGGGCGAGAGCATATGGGAGTCATCACCACACATAGGGGAAGGAATTCTAGGTCTATATAATCTTCATATATAAGAGGAATACTAAAAATAAATGAAATAAAGAAAGTAATCAAATAAACGAACAACACAAATTATTTTCTCTGACTGTTTACCTATGTTACACTAACTATATCATTAAAACAGATACTGACAAGCCATGATCATAAAAAAATATATATATATTACTGATATCTCCAAGATACAACTTAGAAGAGAACAAAAGGAAAAAAAGAAAGACTTAAAAAATACATATAATTGTATAAAAAAAAAGGGATAAATGAAAAACTGCCTAAAAGCCAAATTACAGCTTGAATAAGCCTTACTGTTTATGTAGCAGTTTATGAATCAGTTGACAAATTTGTTTATAGGATTGGTTGTTACTTTGTTATTGTTGTTGTTGTTGTTGTTGTTGTTGTTGTTGTTAGGTGAAGGCCGGTGAGATTCTCCGCCTGACGGCCCAGACCACTCCAAGTGACCAATCAACACCCGGTACAAGTGTCGCTCTGCCTCTCCACCGAACTGACACACCACCTATGGGGCAAAACCAGTAGAGAAAGCACATTGGTGAATAAGGCTTAGAAAAAGAGGATAAAAAAAGAGAGTATAAGAAGTAAAGAAGAACAGAAGTAAAAGAGGGAAAGCAGGAGAGATAAAGAGGGAGAAGGTGAAAAAGTAGGCAGGGAGGATGATGAAGATGGGGAGGTGAAGGGGAAGGTGAGGGAGGGAGAGGGAAGAAGCAGGGGTGGAGGGAGAAGGAAAAGAGAGAGAGAGAGAGAGAAAGAGAGAGAGAGAGAGAGAGAGAGAGAGAGAGAGAGAGAGAGAGAGAGAGAGAGAGAGAGAGAGAGAGAGAGAGAGAGAGAGAGAGAGAGAGAGAGAGAGAGAGAGAGAGAGAGAGAGAGAGAGATAAGGAGAGGGGGAGGGGGAGAGGGAAAGGCAGAGAGGGAGAGAGTGGGTGAAGGTAGGAAGGAATGAAGGAAGGAAGGAGGGGGAGAGAAAGAGAGAGAGAGAGAGAGAGAGAGAGAGAGAGAGAGAGAGAGAGAGAGAGAGAGAGAGAGAGAGAGAGAGAGAGAGAGAGAGAGAGAGAAGAGAGAGAGAGAGAGAGAGAGAGAGAGAGAGAGAGAGAGAGAGAGAGAGAGAGAGAGAGAGAGAGAGAGAGAGAGAGAGAGAGAGAGAGAGAGAGAGAGCGAGAGAGAGAGAGAGAGAGT